GTGGAATTAGCAGTGTTAAACCGCCGTCATATGGATAACAATCATTTTGTTTAGCTTCTAATGTTACAAATGCCAAAATGTTTATTGACTGAAATTTGTTCTAGTAGTATCCTCAGTGTTCCACTGTCAACACATTCGTCATGACCGAGTTATGAGCATATAGATGAGAATTTTTCTCAAATTGGCAGATTTCAGACTATATTTTGCTCCTAGGGTAATTTTGAAATCAGTGTCAACTCATTAAGAATTTATTTTATTATATATATTAAACTCAACAAAGCTAAATTAATGATCAGATCGTTATAGAATATGTACCAGAGAGCATCCATTTTTTCAAAATTTTCCTAACATGTTTATACAAAAAATCATACAAACACGCACGCGCGCCCGTGTGCTCACGACCACGTCCGCTACCCGCCTCCCCCCACTCCCTCACTATATTTGAATTCTAGCCGTTACCCTGCACATAAAGCTACCGAATCGGGCAATTCACACATGACCCTAGTGCCTCCCTGCCTGCTTATCCAATCACTAAAACTACAAATGCAGACATCAGGCTGCTTATTCCTATTGTTCCCGGCAAAGGGTTTGTTGTTTGTGATTTTACTCATAATAAATACCAATTGTTATATGTGTATTTTTTATTACTTTGGTTTTTGTTATTGTGCATTTAAAGTCAATCATTTAACAGGACCAAAAAATGTGACCCCCCCTTTTTCAAAAAGCTGGATCCGCCCCTGAGAGTGATTCTTATCTGGAGATAACTGCGACAGACAACAGTAAAACCTGCAAGTTTACTTACCATCGAAACCTAGCATTAAAAACACGGAAATTACAATGAAAGTGTCAATGACACTGTAGCTCACCACAAAAAAAAACACAAATGAGTGAGTGAGAAGAAGTCAGTTTTAATTGAGCAACCATCGACGTACATTATAGAAACGAAGAGTATATATATGGGTGGGGGGGAACTCCCATTATATACTCTTGATATAATTATATGTGTAATTTTTTATGTGAAAATAATAAATAATATTATATATAACCCAAAATGAATCACAATTTGTGACGGTAGATGGCGCTATACCCTCTTTGATGTTTCTTAGCATAAATCATTATATCATAATAATAATAGTACAAATCATAATATGTTCATAGCAGAAATTTTGGATTAAAGATATTGTCAATGAAATCTTGTAAAACGAAACAGACGAGTGTGACACCACAGACTGTTTGTTATCTGCGTGTCTATATAATATGCTATATAATTGCCAAACCCTACCTAATTTGCATAATTTTTTTTTACCCCTAGCTCTTATTCATTCACATACCAAAAATGAGCAAAATCCGTTGAACCTGAACTGACTAATGGCAATTCCCATTTTTGCCAAAAAATTGCCGTGGCTCGAACTCGTCGACTAGCGTGCTCCAAAATAGGACGTTTAATATGGGAGCATAGCAGTAACAACTATACCCAATTTCAAACATGTGGGTCAAACGGTTCTTGAGTTATCGTTGACCGTAGTCAAATGTTGACGGACGGACGAACGTACGACGGACGACGACCCATGGCAATAGCTCAGCTTGACGATGTCAAGGTGAGCTAAAAATATGTATGAACGTTTATTCACAATTTTTGCATCATCAGCATAACTTCACAAGTTGCTCAAATCTCGTGTTACTTTCCCTTACCCCTATTGAGCCATTTCACAACATTACATTATAATTACATTATAAATACACCATAATATATTATCTAAAAATCATAAAACCAAAATTCAAAATTACAAAATTAAAAGTAAAACAACAACTTTAAAATCTAGTTGTCTATTCCACATATCCACGTTGACCTTTGGTAACAAAGTACTGCATGGAACACAGCAATCCGTCTATTAGAAAAATAATCAGGCAAAGTTTCCTGCTACTTTTCACATACGCAACGCATTTACGTATTACAAATCGATGTAAATCACAGCTAGGCTACGAAGTAGAAACTTTATTGTCATGTAACAGTTCAATGCCATCCTGAAATTCTATGAAATTTGGATTTTTACTTGTTTATCAGCAATTCCCACAATGCTTTGGCATGCAACCCATATTTCGGTCGTAGGACCAGGTTGGTGACATCAGGAGTCGATAATAGGGAAGGAGTGTGACATCAATAAACAAGGGAAATTCGTCATTTACTAGCCTTATAATACCTACGATTTACTACGCGTAACTCATCCAA